GTTAATTCGGGAAGTATAACAGAATTAATTTTCAGTTTTTACAACTCTACACACACACACAAATAATTAGATTATGTCCAACACGGAAAGAATACCAACCAACATTACAACTTACCAAAGAAAGAAGAAAAAAAGGTCGTTTCCAGCTTCTAACATAGCAACTAATTTTAGCTAAGGTCTTCTCAGTACCCAGCTTCTTTTAAATTGTTAATTCAAGTAAAAGAGAAAACTATATGTCGGTTGTTAGTTGTTACAACTAGACAAACAAAAAATTATTATTATAATAGACTGTGCCCAACATTGAGAGTGTAACAAGCAGGTGGTCGGCTGGTGCTCTGGTGTAGTTTGCTCTTTCTTTCCTAATAAACATCTGTCGTCTTGATCTCTCCTTTTTTGTATTTGTTACTCTCTTGTAACGCATCTAATCTGAGGTACTTATATGGCCTTATTGTTGTGCAAAGTGATGTAACACTCTTACTTAAACAAAAGACAAAGTGGCCTTGCGACGTCCCAGGGGGTGGACAATAACTGTCACAGCAGAATAGTGAAATCATCTTGGATTACAAAATCTGACAACGAAAGTTATTGATTATAGTATATTCAGTGCATCTGTTTGTTTTGAAAAATAGATTAACTAACATTACAATACTACTTTTAGTAACAACCAAAGCTATATAATATTTTTTTTTATGTAGAATCTGTTGCATGTTTATAACATAACGTTTGAAACAATAGGAAATAGAGACCCTTCGGTCTGGAACAAGCACACAATATGGAAGCGGGTTTGAAAAATATTTCACCATAACATGTAAGTACCATGATTCGTCTATTGAATATCCTCTCACTCCTTTCTTGTTTTGTACGTTGATGCTTCTATGTAGGCTAGGTGGTCTAGCACCTATCGGGACAACAATTTAGATCATTTAGCAGGCCGAGATATTCGATAAAAATGTCTCCCCACAGGGGAATTGAACTCGCGAAGCGCCTAATCGCTACACCACGGGCGCCGTTTTGTTTTGTTTTGTAATAATTGATAAAATCTGCAAACATGTGTTTTTTACTGTAACCTTACACTGGCATGTCCTGAACCACGGGGCACGAATGTGTTGTTTTGTTCCGAAACTATAGAGAGTACATGTATAAAGGTTTGGGTTTTTTGTAACACTCTGTATTATTATCACACAATCTGTTCCGTTCTGGCCTTATTCAAAGTCAAAGGCCTTCTGGAATAGTGGGTAATTTATAATTTTAAAAAGGAAAAGAAAAAAAGAGTAGCGATCAAATTGAACATAATGCTGCCTCTAAAGGTAATTTACCAGAACGCATGCTGTTTTTATATTCCATTATCTGTTCGTTGACATTTGAGATTGAGTGTTGCAGTTGTCTGAGTAATCAGTCAGGCTTTACGCGTCGGGTCAAAAGCCACACCTTAATGTCTCAATGAATGTTTTTGTTTTAGTAAGAGTTTTACGGCACTTGCAACATAAACAGGTAAAAGAAATGTCGGAGATTGGAGTTATTACTAGAGAGTAACATACAAATAAAAGTAGGAGAGGACAAAAGGGCGGTATATTTTTAATAGGAATGTAGGAATAAACCACACCAGAGGACCTGCCAACATCCTACCTTAATGGCTATGCGACAGTAATAAACATACTCACACACGCACACAAACAAACAAACACACACACACACGCACGCATATACACACGCCCACACACACACACACACACACACACACACACACA